CGGCTCTGAGCACAAATCCTTATTTTATTAGAAACATTAAACAGACTTAGCCAGTATATCTGCCTTTCTGCTTGCTCTGGATGGCTACACTTAACTAATGTATAAGAGCTAAGCTGAGCGATATCCTTGAGTTAACAATGTGCACAGAAAACACGGAAGACTAAACAGTTGTCGTGACCTTGTTCAAAATACTCTGTAAACATGGTAGCTCATAAAAAACTTCTCAAAATATAGCAAGCTGATTAAAAATAGAGCAAAAAAATCCACACAATTTATTCGAATTTGGCTTCTTTTGTCAACACGCATTCCCTCATGAAAAAAAATACTGTAGTGTTTTATACTTAGTGTTTTGAACCCTAATTCAATTCATATTTTTATATATTGCTTTTATGATGTAGATAGTTAAAGCAGCTTAACATAAAAGTTCTAATAAATTAAAAATGTTCGTCCAATTTTCAGGGTTGAAGTTTAGTTTAGTTTAGTTCAGTGTGGTTTAAATGGTTAATGCGCAGCTCCACAAGTCCAAGCAAGCCAATGGCGACAGTGCCAAGGAACAAAACTTCACCAACTGACAAAAGTGAAAAAAAAAAAAACTTAAGAGAAATCAGGCTCGGTGGACACGCAATTTCTCCTCTGGCAAAACTTCCGGTGCAGAGCTGCAGTATAGGTCTAGGCTAAATTGTCTGAAGTGTATGAGTGAAGAACTCTGGACATCTATGGTGGAGAACTGCTGGTGTACTTAAGTAATTGAAATCATACTTGACTACTTGAAATCACATTTTGTGGTAATTCTACAGTAGGTATGGTAATACAACAACTATCATCATAGACCCTTTTCACATTTCTGGGTTTCTCAGTAAGACGTCATAGCTGGGTAAACTTAGAGCACAGTGAATGGGAGAGTACAACAAATAATTTTTTATAATCATATTTGTCGAAATAATAAAAGAAAAACACCACAATGGTGTTATTAAGACTTTAGAAAAAGCAAAGAAAATAGTGTGAGACTGATAACCGCAGCCAGAGGAGAGAATGAGGTTAAATTTACTCTCAGCCCCATAGACGCTGCATTAGAAACACCTCTAATAAGCGGTCATTCGTTTTTTGTAATTTGATGATGTAATACATTCATAAATACATATAAATATTCATACCATTTAAAAAAAAATCAAAATATTTAAAACTTTCCATCAATGACCCAAAACAGCTGTTTTATTCTAGATATTTTTTTCAAGAGATTAGTATTCAGCTTAAAATGAAATTTAAACACTTAGTAAAATAGGCAAATTTGAGTAATTAGGCAAATTATTATAAAATGATGATTTATTGGGGCGATGAAGTAGCGCAGAAGGTAGTGCTGCTGCCTCACAGCAAGCAGGTCGCTAGTTCGAGCCTCGGCTGGGTCAGTTGGCATTTCTGTGTGGAGTTTGCATGTTCTCCCTGTGTTTGCGTGGGTTTTCTCTGGGTGCTTTAGTTCCCCCCACAGTCCAAATACATGCTGTACAGGTGAATTGGGTAGGCTAAATTGTCCGAAGTGTATGTGTCTGATTCGGGTTGGAACTAAACTTTGCAGGACAGCTGCCCTTCAGGACCGAGTTTGGACATCCCTGCTTATAGACTAATTCTATATGGTGAATATAGAATATACTATCATTGGCCCACGAACTGTTCCTGTTGGTCGTCAAACAATTTTATAACTGTAACAAGAGGCAATTCTTAAGTAATATTAACACAGCCTTTTATCAATAAATGGAACTATTTGGATTATAAGAAGCTATAGAAATTCAAAATCTAAAACAGGAAAATTGTTAGGACCATTGTCATTGTTTACATCACCCAAAAAGGTCTATAGTGTTTACTCTAAAGGACTATAGTATGTTTTCATGTGAGTTGATTCTAAGCTGAATTTCATCACTATAAAAGGGCAGTTTTGTTTGTGTGTCTGTGTCGACAGCATCTTTAGTGTGTAAAACAGAATTTTTATGTTCCCTGTTAGCGCTTGTGTTTTTACAGCGGGCTTTAGGCTGTTCATTAAACAGAATGGGAAGATTTGCTTTTCCAGCACGGTCTGTCAGCACCTTCATGTCCTCTCGTCACACATATTTCCTTTTTACTACAAAAAGCGACACATTTGTTGGATTCCTGTCGGCAACCTTGCATTTTAACCAACAAAAAGAGCCCTCTTCATCTTTGCTTTCTGCATTATTCAGCTGCATATCGTTAAAATTAACAGCCCTTTATGTTCACTTTATGTTTGCGCACTTTTTTTTCAAGGAAGTAAAACTGTGTCAGGTTTAAATGGAATTTAATAAGCTGCCATTCCAAGGCATCTGGACTCGTGCATAGCCGTAGTGTTTACAGCAGTGCTTTATTGTGCTTTATGCCGCTTTGTAAGAGAAGTGTTTGTGTTTCAGCTGCTGTGTGTGTGTGTTTGTACCTGTATGGCTTTACGGCTTTGTGTCATGTCTCATTTTTCACGGATAGAAGGAGACAGAAGTGCTGATGCCGTGTGGTTATGAGGAAGATAGGCTCATCCTGTGTCGTTGAGAGAGAGACGTGCCATGTGCACATACAGTACACGCGCACACACACACAGAGCTGATATATTGATGCCTGTGTTCATTAGGCCTGATGTGTAGAGTGAATAGTGGCAGTGATCAGAATTTACTGGAGTTTAAAGGGACAGTTCGAATCAAATATTTAAATAGATAGATTGAAAATTCTGATTTGTCAAAAGAAATCAATGTGGTTTGTGTCTCTGGACAAATAGGACAATGCTGTTGATGCATTGTCCCTCCTCCATTCCTAGATTGGTTTACACTGTACTCTACTCAACCAATAAACATAGACCATTGTCTTGCGAACCACCAATCAACATGTTTTTGGGAAATTTAAACAATCCCTGATTAAAATTAGGTGTGTTTTTGCCTCAATTAAATGTCAGGTTCTTTTGTTTAAAATGAAATGACACTTGATGCTGACTGCTAAAATAAGTAGTAAAATAAGTACTCACAAAATAGCTCTAGGTCTTTAAGGGTTAAATCATGAGCCATCTGTAATGATGTCATTATTACAGCCATTTTTGGTGATTGGATATGCGGGCTTTTGTCATTTTATAAAAGCACTCGATCAACGTTACAGAATACAGTCTCGCATTTTTTCAGCACCGAGATAATTAAGATGGTTTATTTATGTTTAGTTAGGTACAAAGATGTTTATTTGAAATTTATCTCTTTTAACTTCACATGTATATTTATTTTCAACGTGTAAGATTTTATGTGTTCCCCAGTTTGAGTATTGCAATAAGTCGTTTTTATTTTTTCTTCTTCTTAACCTCTTACTGTTCCTATTGCCTGTAAAATATTTTTTTTTATTAAAAAAAAAAAAAAAAAAAAAAAAAAAGACGTGTCAAGCCATGAGAACCGAACCGAAAACTCTGTTAAAAATCTGAGGTATGTATTGAACCGTGGGCTAACTGTGTTGGTGCATACGTAGTTCCACAACATTTTAGCCCAGATGCACATAATGTTAATACAGCAACACTCTTACCTTTCATTGCCGCTTGGTATTCAATGTCAGTTTGGATTGTTATGGTCATACCTAGGAAAAGTATGGTGGCTGAGAGAGCTTAACAGGCTGCAGTTTAACAAAAGACATGCAATTACAAAAAAAAAAAACCCCAGCAAATTACAAATATCTCCATTCGTTTGACAGCACATGTGCTGCAAATCATGGGCATGTGCACATGTGCATACACATTGAAAAAGCGCTGCATTTCCCACAAAGCAAACAATTTACAAAAATGTGCTATATTTTTTCACAACACAAAAAGAACAGAACACAACAAAAATGTTTCAAGGGGACCCAAAAATGTGACAGCGTTGCTGAGCGGTGGGTTATTTATTTATTTATTTATTTATTTATTTATTTATTTATTTATTTATTTAAACATCCTGATTACCTTGTATTTAGTATTTTTTAGGCTAAATAACCATAACCTAAATAACCGGGTCCGTCACATTTTAGGGTCTCTCTGTGTCACTATCACCAGCGATCCAGCCTTTGCAGATCCTGCACGGAATTGGAGAACTACAAATCTGCCAGCAAAAGAACTGCAAGATCCCAGTCATGCACCACTCACACACCTGGCCTAAATCCTGTCTGATTGCAAACACTCACAGCTGAAACCGCTCATGTACTGATTACTAGACTATTTATACAGCACACAGACACACAGAAATTGTGTTGTACAGCAGGGGTGTCCAAACTCGGACATGGAGGGCGGCCAGTGTCCTGCATGTTTTAGTTCCAACCCTAATTAAACACACCTGAACCAGCTAATGAAGCTCTTTCTAGGTATACTAGAAAGTTCTTGGGAGGTGTGTTGAAGGAAGTTGGAACTAAACTATGCAGGACACCGGCCCTCCAGGACCAAGTTTGAACACCCCTGTTGTACAGTGTTTTGAACATTACAACTCATTTTCCTTGCCTTGTCTTTCCGTATTTTTGAACTTTGCATTGTTTTTTTTTTTTTTTTTGTTTATTTCTGTCTGTCGCCTGCCTTTTGACCATCTGCCTGTTGACTACAACTCGGGATTTGCCTACATACATCTGTTTGCTCCCGATTATGACCGTTGTTTGCCTGACCTTTTCGGAAATGGTCCTATACATTTTATCAATTTGTTTGCAATGTGGGAAAATACAGCTCTTTAAAAAAACAAAAATGTTTGCGTTGTGGCGATTTGCAGCAAATGTGCTGTTAAACAGATTCTTTTCAATTTGCTGGTGTTTTTTGTAATTGCATGAGTTTTCTTAAATTGCAGCATGTTAAGCTCTTTCGGCCACTGTAGAAAATACTTCTGAAACAAAGTGATTATGCAGAGCAAATCTTTAATTTTAGTAAACAAATGACTTTTTAGCTTTATATCTCAGTCAACATTCTAACTGAAAATAAATAAATGGTATTCAACAGACTGTATGTTTGTTTTATTTGATTGCAGTATTGAGCAGAACCTGAAGGAACTGCAGGCCAAGGTTGTTGAGTCTTGCAGTGGCGAGACATTGTCCAGTCCAGTAGATTGCCTCCAATGGTTCAGTCAGCGTAACTTGAACATCTTGAAACCAGTGGCCACGGGACACCAAGAGCTGCTGGATTTCCTTCGACCAATGGTAACCAAACCCATGGTTAACCCAAGACAAACCTGTACAGGAACACTCCACATTTTTTGGAAATAACCTCATTTTACAAGTCCCCTAGGGTTAAACAGTTCAGTTCTACCATGTTTTAACCAATTTAACCCATAGGTCTTAATTCTTGGAGGGTCGAAGCTCTGAACAGATTTGCTCCAACCCTAATCAAACACAGTTGATTTAACTAATCAACATGTTCAAGACTACTAGACACTACTAGATCAGCTGTGTTTGATTTGGGTTAGAGCAATTCTGTGCAGAGCTGTGGCCTTCCAGGAATTGAGTTTGAGACCTAGCCAATCTCTGAGTATGATGGTAGCTTTTTATCTTAGCTTAGCATATATAAACTTATCAGATTAGACCCTTAGCATTTCACTAAATATATTAGATGTGACATGTTAAGGAATACTATTGATCCCACAATAATTTCTTGTTATTATTAATTCTTTCTTTTATTTGATCAGCAAACTTTGTTGAAAACAGAAGAGACCTGTGAAGAGTCTGTTTTGGAGTTACTTCTGAAAATCTCTTCCCAATGCGGTGTTGCTTTCCCAACTTCCTGCCCTGCATCTACCCAAGACAACTCCCAAATCCCTGCCTTGTCCATGCCACGTGATGACCTTGCTCTGGAGGTTCAGGAAACTTGGGACGATGTTCGTTTCTTATTGCGGAACCACTTACTTGGCAAGCTACAGATGATGAGTGAACAGGATCAAACTGAGGGAGAACTGGGTACAAGAATCTATGTTCCTCAGAAGATTCATTATCTTCACCAGCTCTTATTCCTCTACCCTGAAACAAGTGTCCTCAGCTGGTACCAGCACCTTCAGATCAAGGCTGTCCTCAGTGTTCTTCAAAACTCCCAGAGCTGCAGTCCAGGAGGCGAGAAGGGCTTTGACAGACTGGCTCTGGGCTTTCAAACTGCCTCACCAATTCTGTGCTCAATGCTGAAAGAGGAAATTCAGGTGCTTAATGGGGTTGCAGAACCACACACCATACTGTCCTTCCTCAACCATACCTACCTGAACACAGTGGCACAGGAACTAGGTGTGCTGATGGCAAAAGAGATTGAGACGGCATTGAAAGACAACACCACACACAGCAGCAAAGGAGGCAAGATGTCCAGCAAGAAGTCTGCAGTAGGTCAGTGTGTTCTTTTATTCTTAGTGCACACAAAACTGGCTTATTATCCCATTTATAATGAGTAGTATGGTTCTGGTACAATTTTTTTGGTTACCATTTCTTAAGAGTACCTAACACAACAGTGCAGTACCAAAAGGTTGGAGCTAGACTCACAGCTGAAAGCTACTGGTTTATAAAGAATCCTCATGAAACAAAAACCGACAAAAGAACCAGTAATTTTAATGCACAGCCAAGACATGACATATAACAAAGAAGCAAAACAAAAATCTGCTGTATGTCCTCTATTGTTCTTTACGAGGCTGTTTATGTCACATCTAGGCGCTGCTTCTTCTCTGTATTGGTTCAAACTTGCTGCTTATCTTCATTTGAAATAATGAATTTGAGTTTGAGTGTCGCCTCACAGCTAGAATGTGCTGGTTTAAGTCCTAACTGGGCCTGTTGGCTTTTCTGTGTGGAGTTTGGATGTTGCTCACATGTTTACGAAGGATTTTCTTTGAGTGCGCTGATTTCCCCATAGGCCAAAGACAAATGGTATACGATTTTTTCACTCGACCTCCATTGTAAAACACGAAAGCGACGCTGCGGTGGGAAGAAACCTGGAAGTATAGGACCAGCACTGTGAACATTGCAGCAACATGCTGTGTACTACAAACCTTCAGCTGTTGCCACAATTTTAAAATTCAGAAATGGTGTAAACATCACTTTAATATAATTCAGTTAAGTTTAATTTAAACAATTAAAAGCATATTAGGCAGCAAATAAAATCACAATTTCTTTATCAGTAATACGCTTAAGTGTCTTCCTAGGCTTCAGCTCATGGCACCAGGTAAACACCATGACGACTCTTCCCTGCTTCAGCCTATGTAACCCGGTGAGCGATAAAACGATGCAGTCTGTAATAGTGTTGTACAGAGATTTTAAAAACGTCCATTTCCCGCTTACATTTAAGTGCCGCTGAACACATTCGTAAACAGCACTGATTTGCCATAGCATCCACAGGTGCTCAACAGAACTGACTGTGATTGGCTGTGAAGGTCATCAGTTCATCGAACTTCATTGAGTGCAAACACAAATATATGGGTACTGGAGCATTTTAAAGGTGCTAAGATCAGTGGAATGCTTGTCTTTGTTAGCACATGGTAAACAACAGTAAAGAACAGTGAACTGATGACCTTTTGACATTTTGACCTGATGACATTTCTGTTGAGCACTGATAAATACTATGGGTTAGCAGGAAATTGATGGGGTTTTTTTTAAATAAATTTCAGTGTGGAAATTCAGTATCGTGACAAGTGTAATATAATGAAAGAATCAGCTCGTTAACTTGAGCTTGATAAATGACATCTAAAACGTGTGCTTGGTAAAGAAAACTTTTGCTAACGAGTGCCATTTCCTTTAACTTAGCTGAAAATGAGGTCTGATATCCCTTTTTTATTTTCACTATCCATTCAGAACGGACCTTCAAGTCACTTGGAAGGCATTGAAATCATAAATTTGTGTCACTTTCTCTTCGTTGATAAGATATACAGCCAGGTACACAACATTCCTGTGTGAACATTCCAATACTGCTGGGTTTTTTCCCACTACAGCCTTGATTACGCTTTTAAAAATGATGGCCGTGTGAAATCAGTCTATCAGTGACTAGGTGAAATGGGCGTTCACTAGTGTACTCTTAGTGCTGGGTTGCGGCTGATATGCTGTGGCGACCCCTGATACTGTAAATTAGGGACTAAGCCGAAGGAAAGTATGAGGCGATAGAGGCGATATTTAAATGACCTAAATAATTTCATGGCAATTCGTAACTTTTTGATTTGGCTGCTAATTCATTTGAATTCATACAATTATTCGTACAATTTAGTATAATTTGCTTTTTCCCCAATGACAGTTGGGTTTAGGGGTGGGGTTAGGTGCCACTCATCCTTTTAAAACTGTACATTTCCGTATGACTGAACTCAGCTTCTAAACTGACAAAACATAAAATAGTTATGTTTCCTCGTGACATGATGTTTTTAACATAACATTTTAGGAAGGATAACAGTATCAGTGTACTCAGAAAAGAAACTTATAAAAACTTAGCATAGAATGTAACTGCCAAACAAAATTTTTGGAATGCAAAAAATTAAATAAATAAATAAATAATATATGTACATTTCAGTGCATTTATGCAATTGTTTCCACAAATGTGTTACACTTGTAGGTTGCATTGCCTCCTTTCAAGATTTTCCTAAACCAGCTCAACATTCTCAAAAACTACCTACAATATAGAAATTGACCCAAAATTTATTTAAAAAATATATTTAATTTTTTAATATTTTATTTTATTTTATTTTTTATGTTTTATTTTATTTTATTGCTTATACCAACCTGAACTGCATCAAGCCACCAGGGGGTGATGAAATATTTTATCCTCACTTTTCAGGATTTTTGAGTGGGCAAACTTGGTTTGGCAATTATTGTATACCTGACCCTAAACCTAATGCAAAAATGCAAAATGTGGTTATATGCAGTTGCCCATGACCAGTTCTTGCCTGAAATAAGCTCCAAAGCAAATAAGACAACATAAATATTTCCTCTCTTTAAACATCTTTCATGAACTAAATCATTGTACCTTTATACATTCACCATTTATCCAATATTCCATTATTTTAATGATTTTAAAAAACACCATTGGACTTTTTTGTGCAATTTTACTGACATTACGCAAACTAGTCTTGGACTGACAGATTCGTAATAGACTCGTGTATTGCAGCTCCTTGTACAGACGTCAGCGTCCATTTTGAATGGACTCATTAGGGCTTCTCTTCCATTTATTTCACCATCCTGCCACAATTCACTAATTTTTACATGCAGCAGACGCTCTTTCTCATTTCCCGGCTGTAAAGAGAGGATAAGGGAGCGAAAGGGCTGAATAATTTTCCTTGCGTCCATGGGGCTGCTTCATTCGGGTATACAGGCCTACAATGGGGCCCAGTAATCCTTCTGATAATGCTCCATGGTGTGTATTGACTAGAATGTGTGTCAGACACTTGTGACTGTATGCAGTAAGTAATGTACTAACAAAATTTAGCAGTAGCCCTTAGGCAAAATTTAACGACTGAAGTAGTTGTTTTTCATTTAGAACAACACACAGTCATTTGCCACTTTATAGCTGGCTTTCCAGCTAACAACCATCTTAGGAAATCTGAGCATGATGCGAAATCAAACAATGAGCGCTTTGACAGTTGTTGACATTTTTTGTTTGCTATACAGCTAAATCTTATTAAGAAAATGACGAGTAAGGATTTCGCTTTCAATGGAAGCCATCAAAACAACCTGCTGTTTCTTTTTCTTTGTCTTGTTGGGTGTTATTTATTGTGCTTTCTTCTTTCTCCATATTTTGCGGGAAGCCCGTCTGGGAGAAGCGCGGAGTGTGGGTGGGGGGTTGTGGGGGGTGAATCTTGACGCGCCGTCCCACGGGAGCACCGCCGCTCCTGGCATCACACACTGTCAAAGCACTGAAGCATTTAACAGCTTTTCATGCGCAGATATGCCAGTTCCTTTAACCCCTCCATCTGAAAGGGATGAACAGACTTTGTTACCCCCCCCCACTCACCTCCTTCACCAGATGTGGGAGTCTCAGCCCTTTGTACCCATCTTCTTCCATCCTCTGCTTTTCATCCCTCTCACTTTATGTCGTCTTTTTTTCCACCTCGACTTTTTCTTAGAGGTAATGGGGTGAGGGCTGGACTCAGGAGACTGCCATACAGGTCAGCTGATCTGGAACAATGAGGAGTTTAAACCCTTACTATCACACCTCAGTGGATTTGTAGCAGACAGGATAAAGAACTGAAAAGGTGGAAGTGAGAGGGAAAACGTGTTTGTGAGTGAGAGAGAAAAAGAGCTGGCTGATGTTTATATGTTCATGCAGAAACAGTATAGTGCTCAGCATATATAAGTTCACCCCTCACAAATCTATCTTTTAAATTCATATTTTTAATAGAAAGCTATGCAATATCATATTTGTGCATGTACATTACATTGGATTAGTACTGAAACCAAATCTGGAGCTAATCTAACAAAATAACTTAAGATAACGGTCCAAACGGTTATACAAAAATATTGAATACAAATTTTTGAAAAAAGAGAAAAAATCAAGATAAGCAAAAACATTAAGTTGTAATTTTGTAGGCTGTATTTATTTATTTATTTAATTTTTTATTTTTTTATTGCAATATTTTGCTTGAATTTAATTGTATTGTCTTTTAATTTCTAGATGTTTTTTGGTGGCTAAAATATTATTTTTATAAATATATCTGTTTAATAAATCTGTTTTGTTTACATGTGCCAAAAACATTGGCTATATTGACTGAGAAATGGAAAAAAAAAAATATATATATTTTTTTAAATGTGGTGTACTCAATTATGCTGAGCACTGTATATACCCTTTAAATGCTGTATTTATAATTCAAAGACACTGTACAGTATATGTCAGATATGTGTTTAGTATTGTTTTACACACTTAAGAGTAGAACAAGTTTTTTATTATTATAATTATTTTTGCCTGGGTTGGGGTACAAAACTATGGATTTAGGGCTGCACAATATATCGTTTCAGCATCGATATCACAATGTGATCATTTACAATATTCACATTTCAGCATGCAATGTTGAGTTTATATTATAGTTCATCAGTTGCACATGTTTTTGATGCCTGTAATTGTATAATGATTCAGGTATAAGAAATTGTACCTTTTGTGACCTTAACAACAATTAATTTTATTGAATTATTATAAATTTTTTTTATTTAGTTACTGTAGTTGAATACCGTTAGACTCAGAAAACGCTAAAACACTTTATTTTAATTGTTTCTTTTTCTTCATTCTTCATTTTTCTTCTGATTATTGAGAATAAAACACATGCAAATACAGAAATGCACTGCAAGTAGGGCAGACTACAATGAAAATGTGTCAGGGACCCCAAAATTTATATTTTGTTTATTAGATTTTATGGAGATGCAAATAG